GTAGTCCTGGAGACATGGACAGAGGCTCAGACTAGATCTAGTCCCCTCGCTGTTAGCTGGACATGTCTCACATGGTCCATCACTGACATCAGCTGAGAAGGTTCCTTCTGAACACTCTGAAAGATATAATATTATAGTAACATGTAATAAAGGGGTTGAGTTGGTACACCTCTAAACATGCACACACAGTACAACATTTTAGAGATGCAACGTTTGTTTAGCTATCAATGTACTGCATCCTACCAATGCACTGGTCTTGAGTGGTGTCTAGTTCATATCCGGGATTACACAGACAAGGTACAATGGTGTGCCACTGCCCCCTAGCACCGCACACCAGAAGAGGGTCAGTCCCAGACTCTGTGGAACTGTTCTCCACACACTCTCCTGCAACTGAAGGTGAGCCTCCAAGAGACTGAGATTCAACTGCCACGGGTCTGGAGATGAGCTCTGAAATCTCCCTTGGACACACATAGTAGAGAACTAGGATTCTTGAAAGAGTAACACAAGTGCCAAAGTCCACAACTGCCAGGTAAAATCCATCCTCATGGCCACCCAATTCTATATCCTGAAGTTCAACGAAGCTGGTGGATCCATCAGTAAAAGCGGGAGAGATTCGGCCAACTCTGACGTAACTGTCAGTGTTAGCTGCTGCAGTTCTGTTAATGGTGGAAGTCTCCCACTTGTATACTTCAAAACTCTGTCTGCAGTGTCCACTGAGATCGCATCCATTGAGAGTTCCCTCAAACTGAACAGTCACTTTCCTCAGTCTCTCTCCTCCTCTTCTTGGTAGCACTGTGTTGATGTGCTGTGTGATGAGCCAGTTCTCTTGAGGTCCCTCACTGAATCCACAAACTGTCACTGTACCGGCACATATAGCTGTTCCTAGCTGTTCCCACTGGATAAATGTCTCGTCAATACAAAAATGTTACTGAAAGTATAATCTTACCCATGAAATAATTAGACACCACTCAAGACCAGTGCATTGGTAGGATGCAATACATTGATAGCTAAACAAACGTTGCATCTCTAAAATGTTGTACCGTATGTGCATGTTTAGAGGTATACCAACTCAACCCCTTTATTACATGTTACTATAATATTATATCTTTCAGAGTGTTCAGAAGGAACCTTCTCAGCTGATGTCAGTGATGGACCATGTGAGACATGTCCAGCTAACAGCGAGGGGACTAGAACTGGTCTGAACCTCTGTCCATGTCTCCAGGACTACTATAGAGCTCCTTATGAGGAACCCTCTGACCCCTGTACACGTGAGTGAGATTTCGCATTCACCGACAAAAAAGTGTGTTTTTAATAAATAGACGCTGCTTGTGTACAGCAAAGTGATGCATGCATATTATATGCCAAATGGCAACCTTTAAACAATTAATACAAGAAAAAAATTGTGAATAAGATAAAGGCTTACTTTTTAACAGGGTCACCAGGTCCTCCATCCAGTCTCAGTGTATCTAATGTGACCAGCACATCAGTGGACCTCTCCTGGTCTCCTCCTGTTAATAATGGAGGGAGACCTCTCTCTGAGATCTTCTATACCATCACTGCACACAGTGAGCACAATACTATGTATGAGGCATAATCCATAACACTTTAATTCTCCCAGGAGAGGGTGTGGCAGTGGCAGTAAGAGAGGTGAATGGTAATGAAACCCGAGTGACAGGACTGACTCCTGGCCTCCTCTACACATTCTCTGTCACTGCTGAGAATGACGTCTCCTCTCAGGACAACACTGCCAATGCCAGAACACTCAGCATCACTGCCAGTACCACTGAGGAGGAAGGTTGGGAAGGAATCTAACAAAGTTTCTGCCACTTCTCTATGTACAGTAGAGCCTTTGATAAAGGGAATTCTGAATAATTATTATAGTAGAATATAAGACACACTTAGATTAGGTTCACATTGTACTAGATTTTTACCTCCAAAGAGAGGACAACCCCTCTATACAGGACAAAATGCCTGGTCCATTATTCACTGTAGTTACTTCTCGCACTACCTATCAACCACCAGCTACTACCGATGGCTCCAGCAGCAGTCAACAGGAGACAGTAATAATTGGACTCAGTGTGGGAACTGCAGTCCTGTTTGCTCTCCTACTTCTCGTTGGGACTGCTGCCATCATTGTGTGCATCAAGTGAGGATGAGTAAACAGAGGTTATAGAAAATCAGGGGAAATATTGTTTTTGGCATACGGTATATACCAATGCCATTCGAAAGTAGCTGGCCACCACAAACTTTCTATTTGGCAGAGGGTGGATACCCTGGGTCCTCTCCCATATAGAGATCTATTAGTGCACCTGTTGTGACTCCATGGGCTAATGTTTACCAGATACAAGAGAAGTTGTCATGACAGATCAAATGCTGAAAATGAAAGAGAAAGAGGCATGATGGAAGAGTGTTCTACGAACTGCCCTGATTATGCCAACATTTATAAACTGAGCTGATATACTTCATCCCACAATGCACAAACTCACACAGTATAATTATATATACATGTGTGTCACATGCACTTGTGCTATATTTCAAAATCATCGTCCTGCTCAATTTGTTATTAATGTGATGTGATCATGAAGATAAATTCCTACTCCTGCATGGGAGTGGTTCCAACAGTTCCTTTGAGTCTCTCACTAAACACGGCTCCCAAGTCCCTGCACTTTGAGCCGACGATCTCCCTCCTTACCTCCGGCCCAATCTCGTGGTGGGTGTGGCCACCCCTCACCAGCTCCAGGATCCCTTCCTTCTGCTCCACCGACATGTCCTCCTTGTAGCGCTGGACGAACGTGAGGAGGGCTTGGTGCCACAGGACCGGGAGAGTCCTGTCGTCCGTTTTGAACCTCAGAAAGTGGAACACGACTGCGTCGATCGCCCGGTAGGGGAGAGCGTATTTCTTGTCGAGGAGTGTGCGGATAAAGATGCTGTTTGTCCCCGAGTATTCCATCTCGGCGATTTTCAGCAAGGCAGCCGAGGAGTGAAGCATGGGGATGCTGCATTTGGCCAGGACGCTCGAGATGATGAGCGCTTCTCTCAACGTGCAGGTGCCAGACTCGCAGAGCGGGAGCAGTATCCCCTTGAAGAAGGCTGCCGGCTTGAAGAGGGCCTTCTTGAGTGCCATGTACAGGTGAAAATTAAGCTGTTTGTACTCGGAAATGTCGTCCCGCACGCGGGGCAGGAGGACCAGGTTGAAGAAGTACTGCGCCTTCTGGGTGCTGAGATTCGAGGCGAAAATACGCGTCGCTTGAAACATGGCCGCAGCGCTCCACTTGGTGGGCTCGGTGAGATACAGAACCTCCTCCCAGTTTCCCAGGGATGGGATGACCTTGAACGCCTTGGGCAGCTTCCCGGACCGGTACTTTGCCAGAATCTGACCCACACCCTTGAAGACAGTCACAACCTTCTCGTCCATCGTGCAGGAGAGAGAAACGTCTGACACCTGGCTGGCAATCTCAGTCTCTTTCTCCCGGATCTTCTCCAGAATAATGTCGGCTAGGGTCCGCCGCGGTGTCGCCTCCTCGTGCATGAACACTCTCATGGCTTCCTCGTCCTCCTCTGTCACCCGAGGACAACAGTCCTCATCTCCGTAGCTCTGTTCTTCGTCTCCAAACTCGGACTCTCCCGACGCATCCTCCTCTGCGTCAGAACCTCTCTCTCCTGACGTATCCAGAGATACCACCTTGGAGCCCGACAGAGAGTTTCTCTTCTTTCGTTTCCAGGGTCCGCTGCTCCTACCAGTCCCGCCTGGTGCGGAACCGAACTCTTCCTCCAGCTCCTCCTGCTGCTGACGAGCCTGCCGGAGAATCCGCTGCGTCAGTCTCTCTTCCACAAAGTCGCTCTGGTCGTCCGGCTGACCGGTGGCTCTCTGACGAGCTTTCCCCGACCTGCTCCTGGGTCGAGGAGCGTCGCCCTCTAGGATCTGATCGGCGAGAGCTTGATGCAAACGAGCTTTCTTCACCTTTCCCATCGCAACGTGGGCAAATGTAGAGCGTAAAGGGTTAATTCGGGCGAACATCTGCGCATGCGTAGCCGCTCGCTACGTTCGCATTCAGATCACGAAGCTTTTGCTAGCGCGGAAAAGAAGGATCACCGTTATGCCTCGAGGACAGAAGATAGTGTCAAAGTCGGACCTACTGATGCTACACCGCCCGCAGCACTCCAGACGACCCCTCATCTACGTCCGCGTGACGGTGGAGAGGGGGACACTAACGGTGCAGAAATGTTCTCGGAGATGCTCCATAAGACCAGTGAGTAATGTAGCTACAGCGGTGAAACATTGAAAAGGTATCTCATCTTGCATGATATTTGACAGTCTTCTGTGAACGGGGAGTATGACTTGAAGTTGGTGTGGGTTACAAACAACTGTGATGTTCTTGATGGAAATGTCAGGTCAGTTTTTCACAAATTAGAATTTAGGTTCGTGTATCACATAACATTCATATATACTCCAGGTACAGTTTTGAGGTCATAACCCCCGAGAAATGCTATATTTTGCAAGCCGAAAGTCACAGAGCAAAGGTTGGGTATTTCCAGTCAAAAAAATCGGCTATCTACTTGTGCACCCCATTGATGATCTTGATTTAGATTGACTGGATGCAGGTGCTCTGTATTGGCGCTTCTCAATGCTTACAGTTCCGTGGTAGCTACAGACCAGCGTAAGCCTAACACACAAGAACACAAATGTACCTTTTAACTTGTGCTTGCTTGTGTTTGTGTGTCGGTTTGCAAAGTTCATGGTCGAATCTGGAGGACCTGCAGCAGTGGTTGTCAGTGAGGGAGGTGGAGTATGGATACAGGGAGGCGGAGGAGTATGTGGGGGCTACCTACACCGGGAAGTGGCAAATGGGGAAGCCAGACGGCATGTAAGTCACACCATATCACTGCACTCCCTGGTAGCTCAGTTGGTAGAGCGCTCGGCTACACTGCAGATTATGGGTCCGAATCCTACCGAGGGCAGCTCTTCTTTTTTTCATTGGAAATAAAGAGCTGTCCTGGGTGTAATTGAGCTTTGCTTTGCTATATACCTTGTTGTTGACACATGCCCAGTTGATAGGGTCTCAATATGTACTGTAATACCATGACAGTGTGTTTTGACCAACAGGGGAAGCATGGAGTGGCCTGATGGCCATCGGTATGACGGGGAGTTTGTGAAAGGCAGGATAGAAGGGTATGCTACCACGCATAACGTATTAAAATTTATTTCTTGACCCACTGTAGTTAATCTATAGCCAAAGGATGCATGTTCACTTCCACCCATTCCTCTACTCCACCTAGCAACAACTGAATCCAAAGCCGGCTGGGAAGTATTTTGTGTGCATAGTCATACCAATCTGGCTTCTCTTCCAAACATTTCCCTTTCTTGGTTGAGACAAAGTAACCAGTAGAGGAATGTATGCGTCAAAGCATTTATGACATCATCCACATTATAATATACAGTTGCATAGTCACAGCACTTAAACAAAACAGATCCACCATTGCAAATCTGTGTGTGTGTCAATAGCAACCAAAAGAATGTACACAGAGAATCCCGGAGTAGCTCAACTCAATTTCAACCCACACCCCATCTGTAGATAGCTAACCCAGGACATAGTGAATAGTATCACAGGTTGGGAGTGAAAGAGAAAGAGACAACTTCTGTCAGGAATTGTTACTTGAGTCTTGTGCACATGCACCGAGCTACAACTCCCAAACAAAAGCTGATCTTCCTCATTTCCTCTAAGCATTGCTATATACCACCTCTTTTTTCTCCTGACCTGCCTACCTCAATTATCCTTTAGGAAAGCTAGAATGTTTCAATCTGTCTGTTTTGGGAGGATAAGTAACTGGTTCTCTCGTGATCCCCAGGACCGGTACAATGATGTGGTTCTCAGACCAGAGCCGGACTAGCTACACTGGGAGCTGGAGGAGGGGCAGAATAAATGGCCACGGGGAGATGACCTATCGAGACAGCAGTGTCTACCGGGGCTGGTGGCGTGACGGTGTCAGACATGGGCATGGGAGGATGGAGTATCGGGAACCCCAGTCTCTGTACATGGGAGACTGGGAGAACGACAAGAGAGAGGGGTACGGGGTGTTCCACAACCCTCTCAGGTGACTCATGTGCAAACATATACAGCACATATACGGCTATGGACAGCGGTCTCTGTTTTACTTTTTTGATGGGTAGAATTCTTTCATGCCATAATAATTCAAACTCGCTTAATTGGAAATCCATTTCAAACCAATCGCCATCTCCCTGCCATTATAACAAGGCATGTATGTAAGATCTTTCATTTTTCACTCATGAATTGTGTGTTACACCGTATTGTGTAAACATCACTTCATAAGTGTATTGTGTATAAAATGAGCTTTTTTTAATCTCCACAGTAGTGGAGAACACTACTTGGGAACGTGGAAGAGCGACTGTTACCACGGACCTGCAATCCTGGTCAGTGGAGCTGGAGATAGTGGCAAAGAAGAGGAGGAGGGAGGTTCATTCCACTGCGGTGTGTTCCGGGAGGGAGAGAAAATAGACGGGACGCTGCCTGTCGCTCGATTGCAGCACATCAGCAAGTGGGCTGGCCTCTTCCAACACTGCACTGACCACCTCCAGCAGATGGTAGATAGCTAGATAGCTGAGAAGCACTGCAATGATTCTGTTGGTCCAGCATGCAGATTCACGTCACTCTAATCTGCATTCTTCCATGCTCCTCTCCATGTTCCTGCACGCTATCATACTGCTGTGTTGACATGTGGCATAGAGTAGTATTGAAGTACTGCAATGTGTGCAGGTGCTCTTAATGTTTATGTGTGCTACACTGCTGTGTATAAGACATGTGGCACACACCAATGTATGTGCAGGTGGCCACAAGTCACAGTGATCCAGAGGTAACACACAGACAATCATCACCGGACGAGAGCTACGACCAGAGCCCGCGAGGAGGGAGAGGAGGTGAAGACGAGATGAGCGATATCTACCGAGCCTATGGTGTCATGGCCAGGAATGCACACAAAGAGTGTTTGGTGTGCTCCATGGAGGTATGTACGTGTGACTGCAGGTGTTGTATATGGCTGTGAACCATGTCCTGCCAGTACTTTCTCTGGCGGTAAAACACAACAAAACCAACAGTATGGCAATGTGTGTGTACAAACAGTAGATGGTGTATTCTCAATGGAAGATGTTTCATATGTGGCATTACCAGCCTTAAGACATGACTACACTTCTCTTTTCTCAACTCATTTCTTTCGTGACTCTGACTGGTTCTATTCTCAACATCCGTACACCATTCATACGAATGAAAAATTAGCTTACGAAATGAGCTTGTCAGATGTTATTGAGTAGCTAACTACTGATGCTACACATACTTAAACCACCTTCCCCATTAACAGGGTTTCAAATCGGCCAGTCACCCATTTGGAATACTGGTAAACCACTTCACCAGATGTTTCAATGAGAGCTACTCTGACATTGGTGGGCACCCTCGTCTCCTCCCCCACGCCATCGGAGAGCTTACCTCTGTTACAGAGAGGCTACATCAACTTATCTGGTAAACATGTTAATAGTACTTTAATGGTTTTCACTAGTCCAAATAATGTCAGTAGCACAAGGCTACCATATTCAGTGGAAGAATAAGGTTTATAGGTAAGAAGGGTGACTGAAACGCTTGGCATTATCATCATTATTACTTTGGACTTGTGAAGACTATAAGTATATCTAGTCAATCTAGCATAATATGATAAGTATATCTATTCAATCTAGCATAATATGATAAGTTTATCTAGTCAATCTAGCATATTAAGTACTGGAGCTCACGGTGTGTGGTGTGGTGTTTGCAGGAGACTCTGTCCTACTGTGATTGAGAGCAACGGAACACTGCCACATGGTGACAGGACCAGTGCTACAAGAGGAGGCCAGTCTCCTTCTATCACCTCACCTAGCGGCATGGGTATAGTACTTATTAGCTAGTACAGTATTAACCCATGTCCCCCTTATTATTATGCCATTGCTGATTTTCAAAGGCTGACAGCATATAATAGCTCTCTCTCTCTCTCTCTGGATGCCAAGGATATCTCTTTTAATAAGCATTAGCACCTAGTTATAACCCCTATATAAATTCTTATGGAAATAGGAATTAGGGAAGTTCTGGACGGTCACACTTTATGTGTCCGCGGCTGGTTATGTGTAAAGCCTCTGTAATGTTATCACTTCCACAGGTGTGGCCAAGTCTCCAGATGACTACACATGGCTCTACCCCATCCTACTGCCCTCCATCACCGACACACTCATGACTCTGTACAGAGCCCACTGTGCAGCTGATGATGAAAAGCTGTCAATGACTCTGAAAGAATTGGACGAGAAACCTGACAGTGACCTCTGTGAACTCCTGGAATTAATGAGGTTATGTCACATAGTATTACAGGTCGAAAAAACATTGCTCTGAAATGAAGGGAGATGTAGGGATGGCACTTCATGAAAAACGCGGTGAAATAAAAGACTGGGCAAGGTCAATAATCATAATAACCCCATCCCTACACCTTTGTCCACGTTTTTTACACTATACCGTTACAAAGGAACAACTAATTTTGTACTGGGAAAAAGAGGTAGGGATGGGGTTATGATGATCATTGATCTCGCCCAGTCCCTTGTTTCCCTCGTTCTTCGTGAAGTGCCATCCCAACACCCACTTTTTATTTTTATTTTCCCACTTGTTCAAGTAGCTATAGCTAACTTTCCCAATGTTGTTTTAAACAGTGAGTATCAGTGTTGGAGAGGAAAGGAAGACTTGAGCACATTCACTGACCTCCTCTGGTCAGCAGCTGTGACTCTCAGCAAACTCAAGTTAGTTTCCAGAAACTAATTCAAAGATAGCTGTATACCAAAGTGTGAAAAGAGGCTACTGCATTTATGTCACAGAGAGTGCAGATCTCCGTTGAACAAGCTCCTCTGTTTGCAAGAGACAAATGCTGAAGTCACTAAGGTAAGAGATCTCTATAATGGCCAATGTCTAAAGTTATAGCTACATCATGCATTGTGTGTGGCTGGTGGTATAGGTCTACAGGCGACTGCATCCCGAGAGAGACAGTCTTATGGCGTACTCTCATGACGAACAGGGGCAACTCATCTCGTCAAAACTCTTCTCATTTGTCATTGTCAGATCACAGTGAGCCTCTAAAGCACTCCACTCTACACACTATAGCAAGTCACACACTGATTTTTTCTGCCAGACAAAACGTGGGTTGTTTGAGCTCTGAAATCCGCTTCATATCTGACTTTGCTGGGTCTGTACTACATACGGAAGAGTATGGATATCTTCTCACAGAACTGAAGGTACAGTTAAGATTATGATACTTTACTAGCATTTTAAATTGATCTTGATTACAGGGTTGTTACCAGCAATTGAGTGATCTCTATGTTGATGAAGATGAATGGATATAAAACACACGCACACACAATGATAACAAAACTGACAGAGCCGTCAGATACAAAATGACAATGTTGTGATGATATAAAAGGGTCTTGATGCCAATACGTACATATGTATACAGGAGCTGTACTTGAAACAAAATGCAAGGCATTAAAAGTTTATGATACTAGAGGAATATTGGAATCACATAAATTCTAGGCCGGTTTATGTATATAAATTTGGCAATAATTCTGTGGGTCTACTATGCAAAGATACATGTATGTGGGGCAGTATGCATGAGCAGAGAGGATTTCTATGGAGACTGTTATCAACAAGAGCTGATCTCCACCCCACGTCTAGTGGTGGCCAGACTCAGATAGTGGGACCTGAGAGATCCAGTGAAGTGCTCCGTCACGACACCACCAGAGGTCGGTATCCTTCGGTCTGCTGGGTGGTGAATCCAACATAATTATACCCCTATACACATGTCTGTCATTACGTGTTAGGAGTTCATATCAATGATTAAACTACATAGAAGCATACCAAGGTATACTTTTCTGCCACAGACACAAATGTGTCCAGATAAAAGCCCTATTACTAGGTGCTAATACTTTAAAACATGAATTTCTGCTCATGGTGTCCAAAGGGATTTAAGCTAATGGTACGGATGGTCCATGTGAGCATGGAGAATACAATGACCAAGGATAAAAACTCGCACAAACCCTACTCTTCCACTTGGCCCTATTTTACTGTCAGCCATCCAATAAAGAAGCTGATGGCTTTACAGCTAAGTGGGCAAATAAAGACAGAGACTGTAATTATCCTCTTATACTCTATGTTGGCAAACAGGCTGGAAACACGAGATATCTGAAATCTGTATGCTTCAAACAAACAGTGCATGTAGCTAGTCTTGCAATACTCCTTAGTAAGGTAAAAGACTACAGTCGGCTAAGGGATACTCTATGCGGGTAGGCAGGTCACCAATTAGAGAAAGGATAGGTATTCCATGTTGGGAACACAGAGATATTTGAACCTAATTATGCTACACACAAATGGGATGGTGCACACACATGTAGCTGACCTTTCTGCTTTTCAGCTCACTTAAAAAGGAGCTGATAATAGGCATTATGGGCGTGTTTCAATTCTCTATGCAACAAAAAACATGGTATATAAGACTCTTTGGTTGCAAATCTTGTTGGCAAACTGCCCCATCTTTTTCCAGGAAAACCAAACTAGAGGTTCTCACTTCATATTCTCAAGAGTATGGCTGGTCTCCATATAGCCTTACTTGGCATTGTCCCGTCTGGAAAAAAAACCTGACTGCAATTTGCAAGACCATTACAACCATGCAGGTCTGGGTCTTTGACGTACTCTATTCCCCAGACTGTCCCAGACCGCACAATACCGTGTAAGACTATGGAGACAAGCCTTTAGCAATAAAACACTGCCAAAGAAGTTGTCCAAATTTTTTGCGCTCCATCATGTAGACGTTACTTTCACTCTTGCCTTCCCATATCTCCAAAGTCCTCGCTATGCCCCAGCAGGGAACGATAACTTACTGGGGAGTCCTCCAATATAGAGAGGTGATGTTGTTCTCAGTGGTTGTGGTAGCACCACACGCTCCTGGTCCTCCAAGTCGCCATCCAGAGTGAGAGTCACGTTGTCTCCATCCCCTGTCACCCTCACATCATGCCACTGCCCCAGGGTCACCTCCCGCTGTAGAGATATCAGCTCCTCCCCCCTACTGTCCTGTACGAAGAGCTGTAGCTGCAGCATCAAAGATGATATATAATATTAACACTAAATATATTTGGAACGAGACACGCGTTTGCAAAATTCATTAGCTCACTTGCAGTACACCCTGCTCAAGGCGTAATTCAGACAGCTAGGCATGTGACGTCCCTGTGCTTACAGACACGGTTCTGATCGCTCTAACTGAGGTAGTTACGAGCAAGTCTTAAAGAGTTTTCTGAGAGCCCTCTCTAACTCTCTTGTTTTTGCAAGGGTTAAATAGGATAGAGAAAACTAACAGAATGGGTTATGTAGGGTTTCAGAGCATAGAGGTTACAGGTGATACTAATTATGGGATGGACTACACACTTTGGTTCTTAGGTTACCAATAGCGTCTACCATACCTAATTTCTAACTATCCATGCTTGGGATGAGCTACTTTGGTTCTTAGGTGAAGAACTAGGTCTAGTTCTTATTCACAGTTAGGCAATTGCTCACACTTATTGATGGACTACTTATGTTATTGGGCCTTAACAATTTGCTATATAACAGTGGGTCTCTCTATACTTCTTCTGACTGAACATACAGTGCTGTTGTGTAGTTGGATGGCCATTTTATCCTCCCTCCTCCTGGAGAAGAGGTAGAACAGGAGACCAGTCCCTGACTCTGCACTCAGCTGGAACCCCAGTGAGAAGTTGTCTGGCAACCTCCCTATATCTGTGTGATTATAGCCACACAATTAAATATCAAGTGCATACTTGTCCAACGCAAGAAACAATATTATGTAGATTATCCTGAAGTTATCTGTTGAAGAAAGCTATTTGTGTGTGCATGCAAGCTTATAAAAGTCATACCATGTAAGCACTATTTCGTAAGGATGTAATATAAAATATTGTACGGTTTTTGATAGGTCTAAGTGTAGCACGTTATTGCGCAGGTTTGCGTACTGTGGGGGGATTGTGCGCTCCTGTAAAAAACACACAAAAGGCACGATTAATTAATTCCTCACATAAATACTGTATGTACCAAACTCTGCATATGAAGGGTGTCCACTGAAGCGATAGCCACACTCGTTCTGTCCACGGGACCCCTCATCCTTGTCTCCCCTGGCAAACGTGACGTCTTCCGCTGCAAGGTTCTCTGAGAAATCGAGAGCTCTGCCGTTTACCCTGACATCATGCAGTTGACCCTTGAACCCGTCCCAGGTGGTCCCGGAGTAGAGGAGGTTTGACTGGGAGCGAGGCACCCCGCCGATGAACAGGTTGGGGGAGAATGGACCGGAGGGGAAGAAGAGTGCGAATCCAAAAGGAGATTCAATGGCCATGTCATTCACCATCATCGAGAGACTGCACACAAGGTTTTACAAATCCTACTTTAGGACCAGCTCGTTCCTATACACACGTATTCGGCATTAGCAGCCTTGCCATGACTATGCTTTATTTCACGTCACTTTCTTCTCTAATCTCATCTCTTTCCCTTAGCTGAGTCTGACAAATCTACATGCATGTGAAAACTACGAGGTAAAAAGGCAAAGGCACAACAAACAAATCAACTACACCCAGGACAGCTCTTTTTCTTCAGGAAAAAGAGCTGCTGATTTGAACCCACGACACTCTGCAGTCTAGGCAAGCGCTCTACCAACTGAGCTACCAGGGCAACTCAGCTGGTAGGGGTTCGAATCTACAACACAACACAACACAAGGCAAACCTGTGCTATGGCACAGTATACTCTCACTCAGTATGTAGGAGCAGACCGTGGTAATTAAACCACTGCACTGTTTATACGATAATAAGTTAGTTGAGAGGCTACAACATTGAGTGGGTGCTACACAAATTAAAGACACGTTACCTTATTCTTCTATTGAGCTACTAGTACATGTCAACAGATTCACCAAACCTTTCCGCCCCAAATTGATTCAACAGCTAAAACATTATACCTCAATCCTGATCTGATGATGGTGACAGTGTGGAGGCTGTTGTCGTTGAGGTTGCTGCCTCGGGAGAGAGAGAACGGACTGTTGGAGCCGGCCTGGAACAGGAGGCTGAACCTCCCTCCTTCCAGTGTCAGTGCCACCCACTTACCCTGGACAGCAGTGGCACATAATGCACTGAATAGGGCTTAGTGTGTAGGATCAGGACTAATCAGGACCTTGTGTGACAAAGGAATAGTGTACTTACTAGAGTGTTGGTGTCCTTTTCTTGGGGATAATAGGTATACATGCAAGAGTTGTTGTGTTGGGGGCTAAAGAGTTCTTTTTGTTGCCCTTCTACTATTGTGGACATGCTACTACTACTCATCCATGGTCTGAGAACCACCCAATGTGTGTGCGAATCAGGTAGACACAAGGCAAGTGCACATTCACCACACCCAGGACAACACTCTCTTCGAAAAGAGCTGCCCTAGGTGTGACTCGAACCCACGACACTCAGTTCTCTAACACAGTGTTCTACCACTGAGCTACCAGGGCAACTCAGCAGCCTGGGCTCAAATTCTGCAATACGTTAGCTATGTATGCATGTTCTAGAACACCTGAGCTGCACTGCCAATGAAAAACATGAGACCGTCTCCAAAGTAAGTCCGGAATTTCAGAGAGATGTCAAAGTGAGCAGTGGCACTGAATGCTGGGAACACTGCATAGCTGGCTCCATAGAAATCAGCAGAGAGTATAGCCTGAGCGAAAAATAATATGCAGTAAAAACCTCTAAATAAGGGACACCTTTGGGGTGTCGAAAATTGTCCTTTACTCAGAGGTGTCTTATGTTCAGCAGTAATAATTATGGGTCGGAACCAACTGTCCTTTATAGAGAGGTGTCCTTTACTCAGAGGTTACTTTATCGGAGGCTTCGCTGTATTCCATATAATCAGCATTGTACGTGTAGTACCGACCTCATGTGAAGAGCAAAAGGAGCAGTTGATCACCTCCCCCTCAAAGCATTGGGGGACCTTTGGAAGAGAGCTCAGACTGTAGACACTGATGCATCCGGTGAAGTTGCTCTGGTCGACTCCCTCCCGCTCCCTCACCCCCTCCCCCACACCTCCCACCAGGAGCTCGCTGTAAGTCGCGAGGCTGTCCGCGGGGACCGTCTGAAGTCTCTTTCCCACCACCTCCCTCTTGGTCCTAAGTACCAGTCGAGACGACCCGCCCAGCTCCACCCTGACCACGTGGAGTCCTCCGTTATTGTAGGTCTCTGAGGAGGTGAGAGTCCTCTGTCTGTCCCCCGCCCTCACCCTCACCTCAATCCTCCCCTGGTCCAGGTACACCGAGAATGAATACAGCTCCACCTGCACATGGATGAACGTGAAAAAGCCCTTAAGACATAAGCAAGTAAGCAATGGCATATGATAATAGCTTTCTTCTGGGGAATAAGCCACTAAACCTAGCAGGTTTTCTCTATGGGTTTGAGTCATTAAACTATGGCTCTTGATATTTAACTGACAAACAATGCTAGCCAGGAAAGAACTTACAATGTCCGAATAAACTACGTAGCTACACATATTTATAGACTTGTTCAGACTGATAATGGACGGCAACCCACCTGGGAGCTGGGGCTATGGGTATAGAGGAGGAGTCCGTTGGGATGCTGCGTCTGGAACTCTATGACGACAGGGGAGGAAACTTCCGTTGACCCACTGCTGAGCAAACTGACCACCGCCCAGCTGTAGGTGGACCTTCCCACCTCTGCCAGCTACACTACTGCAGGGACCAAAAGAGTCATTTAAATAACTGGTGGGTATCCATGGAGGGAAATCACTGAATAAGGTACACTTTTGGGACATTGAAACTGTCCTATATTAAGAGGCGTCCTTTAATTGGAGGTAGGAGAATACACCAGTATGGGGCAGCACCAAGTGTCTCTTCTAGAGAGGTGTCCTTTATTCGGAGGGTCCCTTTTTCGGATCGAGGTTTCACTGTATACAGTTTGACCTGAGTTACTCACTAGTTTCCTGCACATGGGCACAGGTTGTTCCTGTTGCTCTCTGATTTGACTGCCAGACTCCACAGGTTTAGATGGATGCCATTGATTTCTATACTACCAAGACACCCAGAGAAACCTGGTCCATTCTGTGTGTGCGTATATAGGAGAGACAGAGCAGTTAGCAAGAGGCAAACGGTTAGTCTCTAGATCAAGAGAACAGAGAAACCTAACGTTATGGGCTAGAGTTAAATTATGAACTTGGGGATCCGCTTAAAATGATTGCAATTTCAAGTTTAACAACTCTTTCAGTGCGGCGAAAAAAACAACTGCAATTTGCTCTATCGGTTTGTAAGTGTTAGCCGTCATAAAAATACGTAGAAGAAAGAGGAGAGACTATCATTTGCCTGAAACTGTGGCAAGGTTCCTCCAATGATCAGATCTGCAGTTGATAGGAAGGAGGAGGAGGAGAGGGCGTTGCTGAGTCTGCTGGAGGTCTCACCGTCCACCAGAAACACCTCTGATGACAAGAGCTCCGCCAACTCAATGTGAACATTGACAGACGTCCTGCAGACAGCATAGAGACAGTGTGTGAACAGAAGAAAATGCTAGAAATACATATATACACAGGTCAGAAGGGAAAGTAAAAAAGGTTTTGTCCGAAGGCTGTTAGATGAAGTGTGTACTTGCAAGTTACTTATTCTAAGAAGTGTGTTGCATGAGTGCACAGGCCAATAAAATACTGTCATATTATGTCCTATGTATGTATATTATTATGACGCACCCCATTTTCTAACAATGCCATAGTGGTGTAATTACCTTGATATAAGTAGTGAGTATGTTCTGTCGTGTTCTATAATGCAGTCAGAGACAGTGAGAGGCAGAGAGAATTCTCTTCCACGAGCAGAGACAGTTCTCAAGAGGATTCCCAGGTGGCCGTCCAACACTTCCACCAGGAGTTCAGTTCTGGCCTGAGAGAGAGACAACAATAGCTAAAACCCTCTTGCCAGTATGGAGGTATATAAAAGATCATACTTTAATTTCGGAAAATTACTGCAATGGCCTAATGGTTAAGCGTAAGCGCTGTAAGTGGTTAAGCACTAGTCAAATGCTGGCCACAGCAGCTTTTTCTAATTCTTAAACTTGCTCGTGTTCTGGAAGAATCTATATACACAATTTCCCACAATTTTTCTACACTTCAACTTTCTACATAATATGCATCCTCGGAGATTATGTCACTATGGTGATGACCAATGTCCCCCCTCACAGCGTAACTTTATTAATGCTTAGGCTAAACTAAAGCAGTCACTATAGTCTGTCGCAATAGTATACCTGTCCGGCAGTAGTGGAGATGAGGTGAAGGATGGCAGAGTTGGTGATGTTGCTGAGGCTGAAGAGGAAGGAAAGACTCCGGAACTCGCTGCCCTCGAGAGCCACCATCAGCTCCTCTGGCCTCAGAGTAACTACTGATGTACTATTGAACCCCAGTGGGTAACCAGCCTGTATAACAGAAGGGAAAATAAAGTTAGGCAGGCCTTATGTGCGTTTGGGTGCATTATCCTTCTCCAAGTGTTAGCTTTGAGAACGATTTTTCTGAGTTCTTCCAGTGCTAAGTTGGAACAGAAAGTCGATATCGTATGATGCTGTGCCACTGTCTTACAGCAACATCTGATGCAGATGACCACAAATGTTTGCATCCATATTGTGCATGAACCCACCTGTATTGTAGTTGGAATGAATTAGGCACATTATGATTGCTCTGTGCACAAATACACGAGCCTCACATTTGGCAAAAATGACTTTTGAGCAGATTCAGATTCTGTACCACCCAACCATGTATATATTACTAGATAAACACAGGTGGACAGCCCCAGTTACCATCCCGACCTTGTCAACTAGACTGAACGCAGCGGAGGCCACTACTGCACTGTGACTGAGAGAAATGTTTGCCGTGGAGTGGGCCTCAGACAGGCCGAGGAGACTCTGTGAGAGGTTCAGGGACTCTGACATCAACAGGAACTGATCTTTGGCCACTTCACTGGCTGAAACATGTTGACACCATCGTTACCACTCCCCAAACACGATATAGCTGGCTCACTGTTTGCAGTAACAGAGTTTAGCATCTCAGCGACATCAGAGGTGGTCTTGGTGATATCACTTGCAATTATTTCCAAATCGATACTGGAAATCGATGAGGAAGTCCTTCTAATTATTTCGTTGACCCCATCGGAACTGCTCTGAGTGACTATGAGTCGTCTCATAATCTGTGAGACTGCCCCTTTAATAATAGACTGGTTCACATCAACTGAATGAGGAAAACAACAATATTAATAGTACTCAGTCTCCACAGTCATATGCTAGCCTCACACAAAGTGACTTGTTCAACTGTCTTTAGGTACGAGTCTTTCACTCTGTCAAACTCCAACAAACTGCTTCTAAGTTCAGTCTCTGAAAGAAATGGTAAGTCTTGTAAGGGACACATAGATTGACAGTGCTCTGCAAATAACAATACATTCTTCACAGAAGAACAAAGAAATTTCGTAGACAAATGAAGTAACTAAAAAGGAATAAACTGGCATTAAGAAGGATGACCGCTAGGTAAAACATCCCTCAATAATAATTTTAGTCTTACTTGGTTCAGAGAGGGATGGAGTGGTAGTGTTGGTAGCTGCCTCAACCAGTAGTCTGGCTCTGGAGATAGCCTCCTGTGTGGCAGCCCCCACTAATTCCCTCACACTACTCCATGTGTCGACTGAGTCAAAGTGGAGACCAGCTATGGCTGCCCTGGCTTGAGAGGCTGTTGTGTTTATAACGGACAACCGTCCAAACTCATCCACAAACTCACTGCTCAGGAACCTCTCTCCACGCCTACACGCAGTGGCTAATGGTGAGCTACATACTGTATATACAGACCATTAACTACAATACTGTACTATAACTAATGGAACATACACGACAAGTAACCCATACTGTTGGTGAGCAAAGCTAAATTGCACAAATTTTTCCAAAAAATGCTACAGTTTACAAACAAACATCCTGTTCAGTGGTCTAAAGGTTGCATTGCATGACGTTGTTGTATTTGACTCGCCAAAATGTTTCATTGGTATTACAACCCCATTGTCTGGCTCACTGTGTTAAGCTGTGGACTTGTCCACTGAGGTCCAAGGCATGGAATATGGCTGCATCAGCACCAGCCTCAAGTGATGGAAGCCTTTCCTTTAACTCCTCATACTCAGCCAGTATCTGGGTGGACCCCCTCACCAAATGCGATATATTCTGCAGGAAGGTAGATAACAAACTTATGCAGTGCCTCCAACTAAACTTGAAAGTCACCTGTATATACAGCAAATTTCCCGTATTTTTCATGATAAATATTTCCGTATTGTGCACCTAACACTGTTGTAATACCGGGTGCTCTCTTATCCATTATTCTCGCCCATGAATATAGTAAGAATTTAAAGATGGGGTTGAGGCTCTGCCTATGTCTTAGAGACATAACGTATGTCAACGACAACGTCAAGCCAAAATCAACTAGTCCCACATGAAACTATAATTATCTCGGAGGACAGCAGACCTGGGTAAGCTGTACTGCGGCACTGTTGCTTGTGTTAGTGTCTCTGGCCAGTGCCTCTCCATGGACTACCTGTAACCCTACACCACGTCTCAATGTTCCTCTGCTCAGCCACCTCTTTCAGAATGTCCTGTGGGAATTACATCAACGCAGTAGAGCATACTTCAAAAGTTTTCCTCTGAGTACTGCTATCCTTGCTTGAAGGGAATGTGGCAGTATGATAAGGGCTATGTTACTAAAAACAGAAACTTTTCACTGGCCCTATTGTTTAGCTCCATTTATAGTCACACTTATAATCCCTTATTTTGAGGACACCCCTTTATGAAGACAATCCTCAAATAATGCTTGGAAATACTGGATGCTTTATTTGTCGCATTGGTGTTAGGAGCGTTCCCCTGTGTATATACCTCTTTTATCTCTGTTGTATGAGCGTGTTGGACCTCTCCTTCTCTAATGATCCTGTTTGCTTCTTCTAAAGTGCCATTCAATCTGCTCACCCGTTCTTTGATGCAAGACACTTCACTAAGTGTGTGTAAAGCACTTTGATGCGTGTTGTTTCCGACTTTCAGCTGGTGCGATGCTCGTGTTTGCAAGGCCCCACTCATTGAGCTGAGAATGTCAGCAGCTGCACTATTATCCCGGGCACGGTCTAGATTACTGATTTATTATGCCAACACTGTCCTGTAACTTGTTTCCCGTCACGTTCATTCAAAAAGTGCGTGGTCTAGCAGTGATACTGATTCTTCGGCACTCTTTAGCAGATCTGCACAATGATGTGAAACGATAGGTAAGTTGTTATTCACTGTTACGTCATCAGTAAAGCCGATGTTTTAGCCAGTGTGCAGAGAGAGAAGTCCTCCCTGTTCCTTATGAAAGGACTTCTCTCTCAGCCACTTTAGCTAAAACTTCAGTGACTGAATGTGAATACGCCCAGCACATAAACAGTGACTCAGAGTATAGCTATGTACACACCTAGTGAAAGAAGGGAGAGTCCATCTGCTAGTGAGGCGTTGAGCTCCACGTGTCTCTGCAGTGTAGCCATCTCCTCCTCCAGTAACCCGACACCACACCCCACATTCACCTGCTCAGGTCGTGGAATAATTGAAATTACAGGGAAGATCGGTCATATATAGAGTGGACTAGCCAGCCAGCCAGGCAGGCAACATATTATGTAACTACATTCCAACTTCTCCACGCACATCCCATTGACCAAATCTGCAGCATGCAAATTGTCCTAATGTTCTTCCATTACCATGAATACGGTTGGTCGCTCTTGCAGTGAAATTCAAGAAATGGGCACTCGCTCTTAAAACAAACAGATTAAGCGTCTTAGTGCTGCGGTTACAGGGTTCTCAAGTACACACCGTGACGGGTGGGACATTGGTCCGAGTAACTTAATATGGCGATAACAGCAATGGGGAATCCAAGGAGGGAATAATTGGCAGGTGATGCATTAACACTCATGAAAATGTGGTTGAGATGATGCAGGCATCGTTTAGTACAAATGAGTTGGAGGGGAATGCGTATGCACACTCCTATCCTTTGCTAAGGAATTTCTGTTCAGATTCTTAACATTGTCACATGCACTTACAATGCATTAATTGTCCCAGCAATAACTGCAGTATGGAGCCATGAAATGAACCCACAAATGCCCACAAATCAATTAATTCTGATAGGTGATTTGCCATTAACATACCAAGTATTATTGTTTCGTATACACAAACAAGTGTTGCCTAGAAACGCAATACAGATGATTTAGTTTGACATCATTAGTCTCACCTCTGTATGGGTCAGACTGTCTAGCAGTGTATTCACTTTCTTTTCACGGGGAGAAAGTAGGAGTAGGAGTAGGAAGTCACGTAGCAGTACAGGTGTGCCCAGGGGAACGATAAGGTGAAAATGCAACAGAATCGATATCAAATGAAGTGCTGGTATTGGTATTATACAGCGGAATAAAAGTACGTCGTAAAAACTACACTACAGGTGCACAGTATCGCTGTTCTCTGATTTTGAACCTGAAACACTCCTACTGGTTCACTTACGGTGTCTGTTACATACTGTTACATTACAGGCAAGCCACTGATGTAGTGAAAAAAATGAGAGAGTTGCACATGAATTGTATTAATTATGCCACTCAAGCACCCGTGCTACAATAATTGTAGGCACATACACTGCGTACGTTCCTTAATTAAGAGTATGGTCGCCAATAGATCTCAATTGTATAAACAATGTTACCTGGAAACTAGAATTCAAAGTGGCGTGTAATTGCGACAGAGTTTGGCCAATGTCAGCAAGTTTAGTAGTTATTACTGCTGTCTCCTTTGCACTGTCGCGAATATAAGCCCACACACGTTCGACCTGCGCACACAGTATAATCACATACAGGTTCTGCATGTGTGCTGTAACCACAGTTGAAACAGCACATAGTGATTGCAATTGATTGGCTTGTTTACATAAGGCAGCACAACAAAATATAGCTATATACCAAGCTACGATAGCTGATTTCGAATCATTACCATCATCCTCATCACTTACATATTGTTGGTGGGTCCAATTCAACTTGATAGAGCAATTTCCTAGCAAATTCTGCAGTGGAACCAGCACTTCCTCAATTAGTACATTGATGCATGCTTCTGTGGCTGCAGGAAAGAATCACTGGTCACTGCCTTGTCTCAGGTGTAAATCAAAGTTTACTACAGTCACTTGTTGAACTGGTGCAAATTACATAGCTATGTCAACAGAACACAAAGAATTATCACTGGAAATTAAGCAGATCACAGGTCAATTTGTATGCACACCTGGGCTGGAGCAGAGCTCAGTGGAGGCAGAGGTACTCTCCGACACTGCACCCGTCCATCCGGGAATAGGACACGTGAGCTGCAGCAGAAGTAGGGCTGCAAGGGTGCGGGAACTCTTGAACATTCTTCCCCCTACGGCCAACGATGGACTCGATCGGCTTATATGCATGCAGACGCGGAAGACTGCAAAAATCTTGCTTTTATGAACATGCATTGTAGCGTGCATGCGCATCACGCACCGCTCGTCCGCCCGCGCGCGCGCGCCACGAACATTGCGAAACATCTTTCATTGCAACACAACATAATATCGTACGAGAATCACAATGCTTCAAAAACTCTGTGATGTAAAACAAGGAATCAGGGTGCATGCCCAGGATACTGTGGATGGTATGGGTGCACTACTTGAGGTCCACGTGGGGCATAGGAGGGTTGGCCAACAGAAGTAGGCATTGGTTGCATAGGCTGCTGGGCTCCAGGTAGTCCTGGTCTCATGCTTTGCGGAGGGAACCTTGGTCCCATCATGTGGGGCTGCTGAGCCGGCAGCTGTTGTTGCGTCATTGGACGAGGCATCACTGCCTGCTGATACTGGGGCATGGAAGGGTTCGAAGGTGAGTTGAAGACGGCACCAGATACTGGTTGAAGATGCTGCTGCATCTGCTGTTGTAGGTGTTGCTGTTGTGTTGTTGTTGTTGGTGATGGTGTTGCTGTTGTAGTTGTTGGTGGTGTTGCTGTTGTTGGATAGGAGCTCCTGGATACGATGCCTGGGACTGGAGGGGAGGGTGAAACCCCGGTCTCGGTGGAGTCCCACTGTGTGATACAGGATGCAGCGCTCCCACTCCACCTGGAGTTGATGGAGTCTGTGGTGTAGACTGTGGCATAGGTGGTGGTTGAGCATGAGGCCCACTAGGAGGTGGAGGACCTTGCTGGGAAGGTGGTAAACTGCCTGGCCTGACTTGCCCCTGCATATGAGCGGTGCTTGGTGCCTGGCTTTGGGAAGCATCAGGATGCTGTGAGCGGTGCTGTTGCTGCATTGGCATTGTGGAAGGTGGCCGGATTGTTACATGTGATACGCCTGCTGGGCGCGGAATGTTCTGTGGATGCACTTGCATTGGAACCAGTGGTGCTTGCAGAGGCTGTGGCTGGGAGGACGACGGTCTCATTGATGGTAAGTTTGTCGTCATTGGGTCACCTGTTGGAGGGGTAGTTTGAGCTCTCGGTACCGGCCCTGGTGGTACCCCAGATGCCTGAGGAGGTCTACTAGGTGGTGCCACTGGAGAATGGGGTGGCCTCATTGGATGTGCAAAGTTAGGTTGTAGCGGTCGAGGCAAGCTCGGTTGTTGCCCGAGCCCTGCAGGACCGAGGTCCTGATTCTGCTGAAGATTCTGTTGCTGTAACTGCTGAGGTGGTCTGTGGACCACAGTTGGCTGGAGAGGCTGTGGGAGCGTCGGGCGCTGGTTCAGCTGAAGCTGCAACTCCTGGATCCTCTGCACGAGTTGGGCCACCTTCTGCTGAGACCTCTGCTCCAACTTGTCCACTATCTCCTTGTGTTGGTCCTTGAAGGCCACCAGTTGCTTGTCCCGCTCCTGGATGTGGATGTTGTACTGCTGTAGCTGGAGCTGGAGTGCCTGAACCTGCTGGGATTGGCTCTGAAGCGTCTGGTTCAGCTTCTGGTTTTCCTGCATCAGCTGCAGGATCTGGCTCTGGAGGGACACCTTCATTTCCTGCTCAACTCGCAGGCTCTCCCGGAACTTTTCCTCCACGTGGAGGTACTCTTTCCTGTGGGACTCGTCTTGTTGACTCAGCTTCTCCATCTGGCTCTGCTGCTGGGAGAACATGTCCTGTTGCTGGTGGAGAAGTTTCATGAGTGCCGACTGTTGGTCCGATGCTGCAGCCTTCTCCTGCTCCTGGTTGAGCTGCAGCATGTGCAACTGCTGTTGGAGCTGTGCTATCTGTTGCTGGTAGGCCGCTTCTTGCTTCACGTGACCCTCTTTCTCAGCCCTGTGCGCTTCAATTACTTGTTTCTGGTCTTCGAGATTCTGTTGCAGTGCCTGGATCTGCTGAAGGGCCAACAGTGACGGTTGTTGTGGTTGTGGTGCCAGGCTCTCTAGTATCAGTTCAGTGGCGATAGGAGTGCTGTCTGTTGGAGCCTCGAGTGGAGCAGTGAGAGACTCAAGAGTTGTCAGTGGTAGAGGCATCACACTTGGGAGCCTTGGCATACCCACTGGGGACATTGCAGAAACAGACGGTGGAATTTTGGTAGCAGATGGTGTGAGCAGTAGCAGGGGAAGTAGGATCACCAGCAGTGACGTCAGATTGTATTGAGGTACTACCAGGTGGTGTTGCTGCACCAGCAGACGACATTTGAGTAGTGTTGGGTAATGTGGTGGTTAGATTGGCATCGGTGCTACCGAGCACGGAAAAGGAACCAGGACCAGCACCTGGAGGATCAACAGCTGCTGTCGACTGGTGTTGAGATTCAATTTCGGGGAGGGCCATTGTTTGCAAACTCGGTCCTGTTTGAGGAAATTGCACCCGAGGAGAGCTCCCTGAAACACTGGCATTGCTGGAAGTTGACTGAGGCTCTGATAGATCTCTCTGAACATTGCCTGGCCATAAACGTGCTGGTGAAGTATCGTCATTCGTTGCTGGTGTATCAGATTGCAGCGAGCCACCAGTAACGGTCTCATCTTGAGATTGGGTGTACTGGTTGCTACTGGGGTCTGTGCTAGGCACTCCTGATTGATTGCCAGATGATGGGAGACTGCCCGAACCTGAAGCAAAAGTATCTCCGAGATTTGGGAGGCTCATTGCAGTTTGAGCCTGCCCCCTTGCATCGGGTGCTGGCAGAGCACCAACAGCTGGTTGCATTGGCGGGGCTTGCATTCCCAGAGTAGATGCGGGAGAAGTTGTGGCGGGTTCAACTGCAAGAGCCGAAGTGATCGGTCCCAGTATTGAGCTAGTAGCCACAGTCACTTCACCTGGCAGGATATTGATGTTGGTATGGTGGTAAGGAGGGGACATTGGCAGAACAGATTGGGTCTGAGACAGCCCAAGGTCTTGCAGGGGTACTGGATGTTGTGTACCCTCGGCTGAAACAGAGTGTGGGATAGCTGGTGTGCTGGAAGTGGGAGGATACAGAGGTGTGTCTTCCCTACTCCCACCCACACCAGTTGTTGCAGTTGCCCACACCACTGGAGAGGTGGTGGGAGGAGGAAGAGGAGAGTCAGTCGATGACTGCAGTGACAAATGACCAGGAGAGCTTGTGACCACCTGATTATCACCTGGCAGAGGGTCGCTGGGAATGAGTGTGGAGTTTCCAGCTACATTAGAACCAGTCTCAGGGTATAAACCACCAGTCTGAGGGACACCTGTATCTACACCGGGTTCAGTGAGAGTTGTACCTCCAGCAAACGATGACGGATGAGCTTTAGCAACTGCAGGCTGTGTGCCTTGCTCTTCAGAGGGCGGGGGGAGGGAGGGAAAGGGACTCGGAAGCAGTCCGGACTTCAAGTGGTCTGGTTTGGGTGGCCTCTGGGGCACCAGAAATGCAGGAGTCGCGATAGTTGGGGCACCCACTACGAGGCCTTGTTGGGGACTCAGAGGCTGGGTGTCGGGCTGGAGCAACATCTGTAGGCTGCTGAGTGCCTGGGCTGCATCGGGGACTGATGTTGGGGGAATTACAGGTACCTGGGGTACTGGTGGAGACTGGGGCACCGTTTCACTAGGGACGACGACATTAGGAGGATTTGAGTTCCCTAATTGTTGGGATTCTGAAGAAGTAGGGGATCTTAGTCCGCCGAGCAATGCCTGCTGTTGCTGCATTTGAACCTGTTGCAGTTCTTGGAGGTCCGGAGGCTGTGGGGTCGGTTGGAGGGCATTTAATGGAGCAGCATCTCCCCCCGGGCCACCACTGATATTGTTAATACCAATGGTCCCATGGAGTGGTGGAAGACCTTGCTGCTCTGGTGGGAGGGGTCTTCCAGCAAGCTCCGCCTTCTTTGGGGGGCGAGCTGGTGCAGCAGGGACAGATGGAGGAGCACTGGGGGAGGTCACCTCCGGAACTGTAGACCCTCTTTGTCTGTAAACCAGTAAAGTGTAAGAAGTGGTACACAGCAACTCATTCACGTTAATGAACCTAAACTCTTAGACTAGAGAAATACATTCATGCCGCAGAAGTTAAACGTTATGGTGGGAGTTGCTCTACTTGTTATTGGATATGATCTGCGTGAATAATGCAAATAAACCCTTCATGTTGCTGATAGAATTACGCACGAGAAACGCAACACTCCAGCTACGTAACACACAATACACCTGCAATTAGCCAGGAGCTTGGCGGTAAAGAAAGCTGCATATACATTACACTGCGCCACCCAAAAACAATGGACATAACATGAACCATCTACAATGCTATGACATAATATTATGCTGCCAAATGCGTTGGACTCTACATTATGACATAACACCAAGTAAGCTGTATCTGCATAACACACTCATACATTTGTAGCATCGGTTTTGCCTACATCAAAGCTTGAATGCTACATTTCAACAACTTAGTACAAACTACCTTGTGCATCAATATGAAATTCATGTGATGGTCTGCTAATGCACAATCAACAATGTCCAAATGTCGTATGATGCAGATGCGTGCATATGTACAGTACGGACATACTGTACCTCTCCATGTTCTGTCGTTCTCTCCTGCGAGCTTCGCAAACCTCAGCCGATCTCTTTCTCAGTCGCGACACGCTCGCCTGCAGCTTCTGGTAGAACACAATTCCTTCCCTACGTACATGTGGGGGGATGCACACAAGTGTGGTGTGTATGCATGTGTGTGCGTGAGTGTGTGTGTGTGTGGTGTTAACGTCGTTAGTGAACTCTACACCACATTAGTCTACCACAGACTCAGACAGATAAGCGACATGGGAGGGGACATAAAGTGAACAATGAATGTGGCTAGACGCAGATTAATGTCATCATGTGAATCCAGTGATGTGTCAATTTCACGGGTTCACGCACACCACATCGGCCACCCACCCACTCACTGTATTTTTGTCTGCAGGAGCTTCAGAAATCCACCAGACTTTACCAGACTGGCAAACATCGCCTGCTGTCTACAGGACAATAGGGAAAATAAGAAGTATTACTACCCCCTGTTGTATATTACATACATTGATCATGGAAATAAATACTCAGGTGGCAGTTATAGCACTTTGGCCATCGACCGCGCATCCAGAGCAATGGGCGGAACTGATTAAAGTCAAATCTTCATTGCATATTACAGTGGTTCATTTGTTAAATGAGAATGTGTTTTTCAGACGTGCGTATTATACACTGAGTTTTACTTACTGCTGAGCAATTTCCTGAACAGTCTGGCGAGTGCTTGCCTTATTGGCATTGGCTTCAGTAAGAGCTCTGCAAACAACAGGTGGAAAATGAAAGTTGAACACGCCGGAACATGACCAACCTATGCAACGCAATGATTTCTACTGCCCACACGAAATTTTAAATCGAGTGTACACGCATTCCACATGGAGGTTTTTTTAGTTGGTTAGGCCAGTTTCAAGAATGGAAGCAGATACGTAATACTGACTTAATTCTTGTGGCTGCCGTGGCACTGCCTGCTTGTCCAAGGTACGCTTTATTAGCACAATTGTTCTTACAGGTGGCGAGTTCCAATAGGTTTCTAGACACACCTCACTAGACCATTGAGCCGCAGGCTGATTATGAAGCTACGTACATGCACACTCTACCATGTGGGTGGCACATGTCTTGTCGTCTTCAAAGATGCGTAACATGTCCACCTGTCGGCACAGCATTCGTAGGACGATCACGTGTCTCAATTGATTTGCAGGATTGACCAATCAATAACGTCGCCCACAATTCAGTACTGACGTGCTAATGTAAGCAGATCAACGTGTGTCATTGTACCCCATAGATAGTGTTACACACTGTCACAATGCTCCCAAATTTCTGGACACAGACGTAATGTCGAGGTCACCAAAGGCAGCTCATTCTCCCCCTCCAAAGAATGTAATCTGCATACCATGCTATATAGTTAGTAGAGCTACATATATCTACATAGCGAGAGGACTGGAATTGTGGGGGAGTAATTTTGCAAGCCTATCGTCTACTCCGAACATGACCCAGCCATGGATACACACGTGGTGACTGCCTTAGAAAGCACTTTGCGGTGCTTACGTAACCAACACTTGCTGCTTGACGTTTACGATAAGGATCCAGATTTAGCAGCAAACAGAGCATAGCTGTTTTTCTAAGGCTGTCCCCTCATGTTCCTGCGGTTAGTTGAGACTCTGTCTTAGTTGCAAGCTGCATAGCCCCATTTCAATTGTCAATATAATATGTAGCGTTCCTTCAGGTAGTTGACGGCTAGCGCTCGGAGTTAGCGTTGATAGTTTGACAAAACATTCTCTTTTCTCTCTGTCACTGAGCGTACTCTCAGTCTATCACACTCTGAATCCTAAGGTACACGTACAGTACGTGCTCATATACTGACATGCAAAAATGTAATTAGTAGGCTAGAGGGTCAGAGGTTACATCTAGGGTAGCTAGTGTGTTGTGGTGGGTGTCGTTCAATTGTTTGATGCACACTTGACTTGTACTAACACACTACAGGAAGTGGATGCCTCAAACCATCCACTACTCAGTGCAGTACAAGCCGCTCTCAAACAAGCTCACACGGATGCATACTGTATGTATGTAAGAACACAGTCACAAAAAGCAATGCAATTTGCTGTCTCGTTGGCCTCACGTGAGAATGTTCTCCTGGGCGGTGAGGTTCTGTCTTATAATGGCCGCCACCTCCTTGAACTGCCTCAAGTGGTCCTCCAGAAACACCTCGTGGTCGTTGCCCAGGTGACCCACCAGGTTCTTGGTGATGTCATCGCTGTTCATCTGCTGTCTGAACCGGGCCACCAGGACCTGTCGCTGCTGAGTCATCTTATCCACCTCTTCCTGGGGTACCAGGGGTTGATACAATGTAACCTCTTTCCTAATGCTGTCTACATTAACTAATGTACCGTCAAAAATTAATAGAAATCTCATCAATAATAATAGTCTACCACCATGGACTTTAATCTTACCAGAAGCTGCTGCCATCTCTCACTTTCTGATGCCTCTTCAGCTGGAGCTGTACAAGCAGGGAGAGAATGAATCTACAGTCAATGGAGTACTACATACTGATTTCATTACGTATAGCTACAAGGAAAACGGTATTAGACACCCTTGTAAAATGTGATCTCCACAGTTAATACGTGTATTTGTTAAGCGTGGAGAAAGCAGTCAATGATAGAATTTGAGAGAGCAAATAGCTTTCAGCGTACATATTTGTCTCCACAGTTAATACGTGTATTTTGCAAAGAGTGGAGAGAACTGTCGTTAATACCTTAACTCCATTTGAGAAAGAAAATGGCCTTGTGCGAGTGTGATCTTTATAGTTAAAGTAAGAGTGGACAAACTGTCAATTACATCATCTTTACATTTGCACAGGTTCATAATGTTCATGACTAACTACATAACGTGCCCGGTGGTGGGGGGTGGGTGTATGAGGTGCTCACTATCAAGGAGTGTCATCTTGGGCAGGGAGGCCTTCAGGGAGCCCAGGGGACTGGTGAGCAGGACCAGGTTGGGGTAGTGCTGGTCAAACATTGCCTTCAGCTCCGTGTTTGACTTCAGCTGCAAGGGAACAGTGTATAGGGGGCGTGGACCACAAACAAGGCAGAACATTAGGTCAGTGCATGCATGCATAATGAACCACCGATAATGGACCCTCCGATATATTATAGGGACGACCTCTGTATAAAGGACGCTTGGTTCAGCCCCATGCTAATACATTATTTGACCTTCGACTGTATGGATCGACCTCTCTACAAGGGTCAAAATTGTTGGTCCCATAGTGTCCCTTGTTCAGAGATTCCACTACAGTACACCACGTGTGCCTTTTTCATTGCCTACCACATGACATGCGGGTGACTTTCATGACATCTAACACCCATGATCTGTGATGTGATCTGTGATCAAAGGCATTGTTGTAGTGCTCCAATACAGATATATAGTATGCTGTAACTGTGCCCACGAGTGATTGTGCTCCATTATGCAATTGGGTAGCTGCACGTGACCCCTTTCTCAGTAACAAGTTTGGGTCTCAGGCTCATCCTACACACACAGTCCATATGTAGTTCAGAGCTAATGGGGGGACATTATGAAGAGACCTTCTGGTGTACGTAATAATTAAGTTGAACCCGAACTCCATAAATTGAAGCTGGTTTATGGATGTAAACCTGTCATAAAGTAAAGGCAAAGTAAAACCTAGGCCAACACAAGGAAAAATAGCTGCCCTGGGTGGGATTTGAACCCACGACACTCTGTATTCAAGGCATGCACACATAGAGAGAGAGAGAGTCACTATTGTGTTAGGGGTCTCACTGCCTGGAGGTTGTAGCCATGGTAGTTGTCCATCTCTTTCCACATACTACTGCACACCTGCGACGCTGGTCTCGCTCCAAACTCACTCTATAATGTATATGTGCAGGGATACACACATTTGAACAGCAACAAACTCTTCTAAGTGTCGCTTGGAGGGTATAACTTGAGGGACAAAAATACCATGAAATTGTGGCTCGAAGGTCTGTGAAAGCTTGGTTGGGACGTAAAAGACAAGCAATTGCTGGGAATCCTCTCTACAACACTTCTAAAATCTCTAACTCATTTGCCAAAATCTTTCTCCTTCGAAAGGTTCCTGCCATGGTACTGAGTATTGTAGTATACCAGAAGCAGGCAGAGGTTCTAGCAGAGCTGGAACTGTATATACCTGGAACTTTTCCTCCTCTTCCTCCTCGGTTCTCTTGGTCTCTCTAATGGCAGCAAAGTCTTCCTCCACACTCCGGGACATGGACATGAGCTCTGGTGAGAGAGTGAGAGAAATGCACACGTGAAGGCTTTGCATCTGGGGGAACTACAGAGACTGGGACTGTTTAATGCCGGGATGATCATAACTTGCTTAGCTCCCAAATACAAGTGTGTGTCTTTATGTATGTGCATAATCGTGAGAGTGACGACATCACACCTTGGCAGCTGGCGTGAAGTCTTCTGACTTCTTCCACTCTTCCCTGTAGAGACTGGTGGAGTCTCAGGACATTGTCTGGAAGAGGTTAGGAGCAGGACACCTTCACAGACATCATGTAACGCCCGTCGCCCCAGAACATGGAGCGTTTCCGGTCTCGCAAACGGCCGTCACACAGGTGGAGATCAGAGTCACTCAACATAATATTGACAGTAGCACACATACGCGCTGCACGGGACATTGCTATATATATTCACTCTACATACTCATGCGCGGGACTCTACATACAGCACACAAACATGACGAGGCAAGCGGTTTCTACTAGAAGGGCCGCTCCCCGCTTTCCCGAAAATGGTTTCCCCCCAGAACTAAGGCTCAAATCAATTTAAATACTTAATGTGCATTTAGTTCTTAAGTGAGAGCAGTGTCGTCTCCCGCCTTGCACCCCACAAGAAACTGAGTTTGGCTCCCCTCCCCTCCTGAAAAACGCTGAACACACGACACTAGTACGTGGGAATGGGAAAGAGTGTACGATAATGTAAGTACCGACCAGGAATGGTTGGAGAGTCTTCATGGATTTTCTCTACTTCAGTAGCATTCAGCGACCTCATATACTGCCTGCACACACGGGAGGGAGAAGATAAGAGAGAGAGAGAGAGAAGAGAGAGAGAGAGAGTAAGAGGAGAGAGGGGAGGGAGAAGATAAGAGAGAGAGAGCGAGAGAAGAGGAGAGAGAGAGAGTAAGAAGAGGAGAGAGGGGAGGGAGAAGATAAGAGAGAGAGAGAGGAGAGAGAGAGTAAGACAAGAGAGGGGAGGGAGAAAAGAGAGAATGATGAGGGGGGAGAAGCACAATAGAAGACATTGTATAGTACATAATTGTACACAGGGCACATCCAATTCACTAGCAAACACAGTAGGACACTACTTAATGTATTCAAATAACCATGATACACTCCCCCCCCATAACATCTAAGTAGCCTCACAACCCACTGAGTATGTACTACACATGTATGTGTAACATGATGCCAAAGTCTGGTGCGGGACTCACTGTAGTTCCTCATCTTTCTCCTCTACGGAGGACATGATGGACCTCATCAGCTTCGCCTTCTCCTCACTGAAGATGGACGCCACCTCGTGGGCCCGCATGGGAATGAGACGAGAGAAGATGTCCGTTCCCAAGTTCTTGGGGTCAGTGGGATGGAACGACATCGGCTTCACCAGGTCAGCTCCTGCAGCCAGGGACACAATCATTGGATCTTACTGTAAATGTTGTATACGTATATATACGGTGGAACCTCTGAACTATGGGGACAACGATTTTGTCCCTTGTAGAGAATTTTGTCCTTTACAGGGAGGTGTTCTCTCTCTGGAGGTTAAGAATAATGAAAAGTGGACTTCAAAGTGTGTCCTTTATTGCGAGGATTTTTCCATTCTGCCTTGATTTGGAGTGTCAAAGGTTCTACTGTATGTGCAAGCATGCTCATGGATTGAGGGATGTCCAGCATTGCAATCAAAGGCATTCCATTCCCCATATATAGTAATCTAACCCCCATGGATTAAAATAACACACACACACACACACACACACACGTGAAAACTGCTGCAAAATTCACGCAAGATTTTCTTCTGTCAATAGATCTGACCTGCCGTGAGCTCCAGTGTTTCCAGCGGGGGAACAGGGTCGTGGTAGACCTGTTCGTTCTGTCTCCTGGCGACCGTGAGCTTGTCGGTGACGTGGTCGGCAAAGTTCTGTCTCGCTGGCTTCATCATGTCCCCCATTCCCTTGGGCGGGCTTCCCGTGATGCCGTGAGCCTCTGCACCGTCAGTTGGAGGAGAGCAATCTGGTTGGACGAGGGAGAAGAAGGGAGGTGGAAGCAAGAGTGCAAAAGGTGAACTGGGAAGAGAACTGCTTTGTTAGGATTTCGTATTCACCCCTTTTCTATGCACTGCATGCATGTCGAATGGCAAAGTAATGAAACTGCCTTTTAATCATTGGTTGATCCCCCAGTGAACTAAGATTGTAGTCGTTTCCCATTCATATGCAATCAGCATAGCTTATTATTGATCGCTTACTCTACTGTAGTGTGTAGCAAGACTGACATATAGTAGAGGAATGATTCACTACCCATAAAACCAAGCTTCTCCTTTCATCCTTTCACCACCCTACACCTCTCTCCGTAATGTCCTCCTTGTCTTTTACACTTCTCTCCCCTCTCTCATTCCACATAATACAGACACTCACCAGTTCTCCATACTTGCCAATCTCCTCTGCGCAAGCTCCCTGGTAGTACTGGATGTACGTATATACATAGAGAGGGGAAAATAAGATTTACACACTGAAGAAACAAACCACACTCAGCTCAAATTAAAACCTTCTACAACAGGCAGCTTTCAAAGCAAACCACCCAGGACACTACTTTAAAAGAAAAAGAGCTGCCCGGTCGGTGAGACTCTGCTTGCTACAGGCAGGGCTCTCTTCCTACTGAGCACACCACATTCACCTGAATCCACATATTATTTTCGAGAGTATGTTATAGGTACAAAGGTCGCACCAGTGATTCAAGCCATTCAGCAAAAGTGCACAAAGATGTGATAACAGTAGTCAAACCTAATTTCAACAAATTTTCCACCGTAAAACACTAACATCTATTGTTGGTGTGTGTGTCTGTTTACAAGCTTATTATTGGTCGCTTACTCTGTTTGTTTGGTGGACAACGTCAACCTTTCTATGTACACACATACACAGTATACTGTAGCTCGCGTACTAAATTAGATTGTTGGAGAGTGACATAATAATGTAGAGTATATGTGTCACAGATTTAGTGAATATGTACGAGACTCACATGTGCTATGGATTGGTAGTAGAAGACCTTGAACTTGAGTAGTTTTGGCCAGTCCCTGTTCTTCTTGGCTATGACCACACAGGCTCCACCCTCCAGGAGACTGATACACCTGCTATAGAACTCTGAGACCTGTGGGGACGCATACATACAGTTTGTAGGGAAGGGCCTATATTGACATTCATCTAGAGTTTAAGATGACTGTTACACCTGCTGTAGAACTCTGACACCACACGCACAGTTTATATGGAACATGGAAGAGTATTATTTTGATCTAAGGTTGACTGTTACATGTGCTACATTATAGTACTGTAATAGCAGTTGACACATACATAGTAATACAGCAAAGTCAGTTAGAGAAAGCGAGTGACCTGGCTTTGCGAGAGTTTACTCAGCAGCGAGGGGGGCAGCAAATGGCCACCCTCTACCAGTAAATTCCCTACTGTCACTATTATAACAGTGAGGAAACTAGATGTCAACAGTGATTTGCCTATGCTGTTGTAGGATATGTATGTTCTATCCTGGTTAATGTAGACAACTTGCAAGTGTAGCTGCTATAGACGAAGCCTGTTGGTGCAGTGTTTGTAGTACTCTAGCAAAACTAATGTGTAACTTGCCAAAAACCACCAGTCACAGCAAAAATATACTACTGTATCAAGAGTACATGAGAGAGATAGAGAGAGTGTCGAACTGCATATACATACCTGCGTACAAACATTGTGTACAAAGTAATGAAACTCTGTAAAACAGCCAGTAAACCGTTGTTACAGAGTTTCATCAAGTTTACTAGTAGATTGTTTTACAGAGTTTCATCAAGTTTACTAGTATATTACGGGTTGTTTTACAGAGTTTCATCAAGTTTACTAGTATATTACAGGTTGTTTTACAGAGTTTCATCACGTGCGTGTCACGTTACTTTGTACACAGTGTTTGTACGTAGGTATATGCAGTTCGATACTCTCTTTACCTCTCTCATGTACTCTTGACTGTATCATGATGAATCTGTTCAGCATTGTAAACTGTCTTGGTGTACTTACATGTACAAATGAACTTACTACAGCTAATAAATGTGTGTGTTAATGTGTGTGTGTGTGTGTGTGAACTGACTCGGGTGGCCAGCCGAGAAATGGTGATGTTCTTCACTCTACCAATTCCCTTCAGACTCTTCTCAACCAGACACTCCTGAGCTTGGCCCTGCAGACAACACACACACACATAGACATACACACGCAGAGTCACACGTACAGTCACTATGTAGCAACTACACGTAGAAAACAGACATTCAATTAAACATGTACACTTACAGAAGCAAATACATTTAGACACTTGCATATACTCTGTTAAGAGTCTCTATGTGTATGTGAATACTCTGTCAATTGGCTGCGGTAGCAACAAGACAACTCGCATACCCTCTTAGCAATCAGTCACATGACATTTGGTGACTACAGCACACACATACCGAGACAGAGCATATGTACTCGAACAACAGGGCATATCACACTCTCCCAACACTGCTCTCAAGAGAGGAAAAGGGCCTGGTGAAAATTGAGCGATTTCTTGGTTTGTGCTGAATCAGCGGCCTTGTGATACATGGTTTGGATTTGTTCCAAATATGTGGCATGCACAGCGTTTGTTTTGTGTGGTCACATTCTCACATGCTGGTCACATGACATTCAGCCCGATTTTTCATTAGCTCACTGAAAGCTACAATACTGCCAATTCAGCACCATGCTCAATTGACCCAGAACCTTTACCTTTTTGAAGGCGGGGTCTGGGTACGAGACTACCAGTATGGGTCACATGACAATCATGTGACTGTATACATATATAGCACTGACCAGGATGGGTCACATGACAACCATGTGATTATTTTATACACACTGACCAGCATGAGGCTGTTGTAGAAAGAGACAAACTCTGCAGACAGGTCCTTGCTGGCATGGTTGATGGCGAAATGCTCCTGTAAGTGGAATGATGAGAAATTCATAACGCCATCTTTGGCACAGAGAGCCAAAATTCATTCATTAGGCTGGGTTATAATACGTCACATTGCCCTGTCACACCATGCTGCGTCGCATTGTGCCATGAATGTATATAGAAACTGATTTTATCCTTGTAAGGCGGTACGGTGCAACGGGGCAATGCGACATTGCAGTATTGCCTTACTGTATCATGCTACACCGTATGAACAGACAACATGACTCACATCGAGGTAGGACAGTGCTCCCGCTGAACACTGGAAGTGGGTCACAGCCTCTTTCATCTCCTGCACATTGATTATGACGTCATAATGACATCACCCCAAGCTTGTGAAAGTACCATAGTGGCTCTCTAAATTCACTCCTCAAATGAGGACATCTCACTTATCAGGACACTTTCTTCTGTCCCATTGGTTTCAGGATTAGAAGAGTTCCAGTATAGGGAATGTGGTAATTATGAGCTAGCCATGACACCCAATAACTGTGTACAACTGGCAAACAAACTTCTGAACCACATTTTTATACGCCAAGTGTACCTGTTCGGTGTCTCTTTTGCCGTGGCTACCCAGCTGCGAGTGTAGAGCAGCAATGTTGTATAGAACAGAGGCTTGCTCTATTTGGAATCCTTCCTGGAGGTACTCCGCACCACTGTGTACATCTCTCCTGGTGATGGGGGGAGGGAGGGGGGAGGGAGAGAGAGTAAGAGGGATTAAGAAAAGAGTGAGAGGAGAAAGACATGTATAGGGTGATCAAAAAGGTGCAGGAAAGGTGTAAGAGAGGGAGAAGGGGTAGAGACAATACATTACTTGTAGACAGTGAGAAAAGGGGAAAGACTATTATGCATATGGCCTTGACGGGAGAAAGGACACGAGAGATGACAGTGGCGGATCTAGGATTTTGAAAGGGGGGGTTCTGCTGTCCAGAACGTTTTCGACTGCGCTCGTGCGCATGCATGAAGCCGGTGACGCATGTGCACAAAACGACAAAAGGGGGGTTCCACGGAACCCAAGGAACCCCCTGGATCCACCCACCACTGGATGTGTACAGTTAAGAAGGAGACCATAAGCAAAGTGCAGGAAGAGATTCCTGATATACTTATTCTAAAAGGGACATGTGGATGAGTATGCAAATACAGCAAGCACTCCCTAAACCCATAACACACTAGGAGACACATTAGGAGTAGTGACAAGCCTCTATTTGGAGTGAATCCTGTTTCGCACCGTCACATGTCTAATGTCTAATGAGATAGCATGTGTGTGTGTGTGTGAGGAGGAGGAGGAGGAGGAAGAGGAGAGGTTTGTGGCTGACCAGGCAAAGTCCACGGGGATCTGTCCGACAGTCTCTGGAGGAAACCTGGCTCTGAGGAGATGCAGCTGTGCGAAATATCGACGCAGGACACTGCATCCATTGTAGTCTCTTGTGGGCTTTGTGGAGTGCTGTACAGGGAAGAGAGAGAGAGAGAGAACATGAGGACGGAAAAGTTTGGAGGGTATAGGGTAACGTTAGCATAATAATATGCTTGTCAGTTGCTACAGTGTATAACTTTTGACGTGGTGGTGCACTTGCCGACGAAGCAAGTGGTGGTTAGTTCGAATCGCACTGGATTTTTTGTTTCTATCTATCTTTCTCCTTTTTTTGACTATATACCATTATTTCAGTATACTACCAGGCGTGAGGTCGGTAGTGATATGCACAGGTTAATTAATCTAAGGTAACCCGGCGAAGAAAGCTATCCATGCCAGCTCTTACTACACTGACATTGTTACAGACTATCTCATACATGTTACACCGTGACAGGTCTGAGAAACATTCTTGTGCTGTCATCATGTATACAATTCATGCAAACTGAATCATTTAGTAGAGAGGGGGCTTTAGTTGTTCAGGGGATACTGTAGTAATGTAGGAGTGTATGTACTACCTCTCTGAGCTGGTCGAGCTGTCTGATCTCATCAGAGAAAGTGTCAGGGTTCTCCTCGTAGTGTGCTCCTATTAGCTGTCAGTATGAGACACATCCATTACAGAGATAGGTTCCGAAGGTAGTGGAAAGTAGAGAGAGGGCGAGGAGAGAGGGAGAACAGGTGGACTTACCGGTTTCAATCCCAGAAAACTGGTCTTTCCCGTCTCCTTGAGAGGCAGGTTCAGCATAGGAAGACTTGGACACTCCCAACTGGCCGCCATGACGTTCTTGTCGCCTTGTTTACAGAGTTAGTAGCTAGCAAAGCTGCTCGAGAGTCCTCCGATCCGGTCGACAACGGTCATGTGAAATTGTCCGTCACGCCCACCGGAACTATCATTCGCACATGCGCAGAAGAGTAATTGAACGGAACGCCCACGCACAATCAATTTTGACACGCATCTGCATTCTTTCACTGGGCCATTACTCAATAGTACTGACACATTCCTAGTAGTACTGACACAAGGTTAGCAACGTTGTGCGTGGGCGTAGGTTTCTGCTATTTTTTCAAGGCACAGCAAAAACGCTGGTGATTTATGGTGAATTTAGGCATTATTTCTCGGATTATTCCTACCTTGTTTTCCAAACTCATTAGCATATTCATATTCATCCTCAATACTTTCTCTATGGGAAGATTTTTAAGGAGACACCTATGGCGCCCAAAGGGTTAATAAAGGCTAGTAGTGGCCGACAGTCAGTCTCACTGTTGGTTTTTACCCTCGGCGAACATGCGCAGGGAGGGTACTGTATTTGGGGGTCTGTGTGTCTGTTACTCTACATCTCACCTCTCGAACGTCTGTTCGTCCCAGAAACGATACCATCTACCCAACGGGCAATGAAAGTCAGAAAATTTGTGGGGTTTTCTCTGAAAATGCTCCGCTGCAAAGCTAGAGCGCTTCCAGCATTGTATGCCGGTAGTCGGCATTTTATCGCTGGCGGATAATGCGCATGCGTTTATATTTAGCACCCCGACCGGGTCCGCTTGCTCTGTCTATCTTGAAGGCACAACGAATGGCGTGTATCGTCTCTCGCGTGCTATCTACTACTGTAGCTAGCCCGTGTCAGACTCTCTGCGGGCTACTTCGCCGAGGGTTTGCACTTTAGTGCTTTTCGTCTGTCTGTCTGTGTGTGTTACTCTCAATCTCACTTCTCGGGTGTTTGTTCGTCTCACAAAGGATACGACCTACTCAGTACATTAGTACTACTAAGCGTGTTACATGTCATCATGGGCTGCTCCATCAGTAGTTAGCCATGGTAGATTCTTGCTCACGCGCTGTGCACATTCTGATGTTTGAATGTGCTGTGGGGAGGAGCAGCGGATCTAACATTTTCTTACTCGGCAGCTGTGCCTCAGCAGGTTGGTTACTGCAATGCTTTTCTTTCACGCAGCCTTGCCGTAGATGCGGATGGATATCGTACAGGCGCTTATAATATGTGCGGCACGTGTAATTCGTGTGGTCCAATTTATACCGTTTCGTACTTAATCATTATGTTTACATGTAGGAGAACATGATCTGTAACTGATCATCACTAAGTACGGTAGTATACTTAGTATATAGGGATTGACGTGGGACTCGCAGCAATCATAGATGTATGGGGCTAGTGATAGGAGTTTTGTTCATCCTCATCTTCGTCTTCTTCTTCTTCTTCTTCTCTTCTTCAAACACACAGCGTAACTAAAAACCGAAAGAGATAAAGCCATGAAATTTTGTAGGAATGTACATATCGATAACCACAGGGACTCATCATCCTTTTTGTTTGTTAACAACAACAACCTTGCCCCAGGCAATACATTATAATGGCAAGTCGTATAATGGGCATACTACATGTGTCAGTGTAACTCACAATGGGTTAGAGTGTATGCGACGCGAAAGTTGGTATACACAATGCTGCAGTAGCCACAACAGCAAAAATCCCAACAAGAATACAGTGTTTATAAATGAAACACAAATAGCCGCAGGCACTGTCGATGAACGGCGGCACGTCGCAACGGGCAATGTAGCACGGCGCATTATAGAGATGACGCTGAGTATGCCTATCATATCATTTCCATGACCATTACATGTTTCCAATGACGACCGCATATTGTTCTAAAGGCCTCAGGCATTTTCTTTAAATTACTTCTTCACTCCTCAAACTTGCTATATGTAGCACGCATGAGGTAGAAAACTGTGGTGCGCATGTGTATTACATCGTTCCATGACAATTACAACAACAAATAGCTCAGGCACTTTTCTTTAAAATTACTTCTTCACTCCTCAAACTTGCTAACTATAGCATGCTTGGAGGTGAAACTTGGTGCGCATGTGTATTACATCGTTTCCATGACGACCACAACAACAACTAGCCTCAGGCACTTTTCTTTAAAATTACTTCTTCACTCCTTAAACTTGCTAACTATAGCACGCATGGAGGTGAAACTTGGTGCGCATGGTATTACATCGTTTCCATGACGACCCACAACAACAATAGCCTCGGGCACTTTTCTTTATAATTACTTCTTCACTCGTCAAACTTGCTAACGGCAGCACACATGGATGGTATGCATTTCATTTCCATGACGACAAATTTTTCTCTATTATTAATTTTTATAGGGGCTTGCCCCCTTCCACAGAGATAATACGTAGTAGTATATAAAAATGAGTGGAGATAAGTAAATAAAAAATCCTGCGGATTAAAAAAAGAGTGCATATAGGGATCGTATAAAAAGAAAGGGAGACAAGATAGGGATTGTGTTTGTGGAAGCACAGAGATGCTAGCGAGGAGTTAGGACTCCCACAGGTCATTACAACAGCCCTATATCGTCGTACGGTGGGAATACCTAGCATCATAGATGTATGGGGCTATGATAGGGAAAGTTTTCAATCTTCTTCGTAGGGTGGGAGTGGGAGTGATGAGAGAGTCTGTAGAATATTGCTATAGGTAATGAAGTACTTACTAATTACCTTTGATAGATTTGTCATGCTACATTTCCATGGAGTGCGCATTTAGGTGGAAGTATAATCAGCTGACCATAACATTGGATATACATGTTTATACATGGAAACATGGAAAAATTGTGTAACGCAAGAAAACAAAATTCAAGTATGCAAGGTTGGCTGATATATTCACGAGGAAGTAGTAAAGCACCGATACGACGATATAGGGCTGTTGTAATGACCGGTGGGAGTCCTAACTCCTCGCTAGCATCTCTGTACTTCCACAAACACAATCCCTATCTTGTCTCCCTTTCTTTTTATACGATCCCTATATGCACTCTTTTTTTAATCCGCAGGATTTTTTATTTACTTGTAATTATTAGTGGTATAGAAGTGCATGATCGGATTGAAGTGTGCTGTGTTTATTTGTTGAAGGTGATTACAACGGACTGACATGAGTGGAAATTCAATGATGACGGCATAGATGCATTCATAGAAACCAAAGTGTTTGCAGAGCTTCCAGTACAGTAGGTGGTGTTTCGAAGTGAGAGTTGCTCGCAACAACCTGAGTTGGTTGTGGTGTAGATTCTTTGGTAGTCTTTTTGCCCTTTTGGAGAGGCTAAGAGTGTCAGACACAGACTGCTCCTGTTGGTCTGATGTACGCTTGTATGAGCGAACACCCTCTACGCTGCGATGCCCAGTGCGCTCCATAGTATGAGTTGCTCCCTGCAGCATACAAGCGGGTGGCACTCGTTGCACGTAGTGAATGGTTTGTTCGAAACCCCGAAATCCCAGCAGATTTGCACATTGAGGAGACAACGTTTGACAAAGCATTGTGCCCAAGGGGCTCACGAGAAAACCAGCAGACACTGCAGGTAGAATGAGTTGCTCTTCGGATTTGGAGGGCAGCGACTTTTGTAGAGGGAGAAGAGCCTGACGAAGCAGCGAGAAGGGTCGGTGAGGTTTGCGTGATGTTTGACTGTTTTGTGTCCGATGCGAAGTCCTCTCAGACCTCCTGGTCTGTTCTTTGATCCATCCTCTGTGTATTCAAGGTACGGTCGCTCTCCAGTCCGCTCTACTAGAGAGATTTGGGAGGGATTGAATCGAAGCTCTCTATGTTCCTTTCCACTCCTCAGGGCAAAGTATAGGCCATTCATGAATACCGTAGTGTTGATGATAGCTTTTGGAGTGTGGTCTCCAAGTAACCCCTTCTGCCATAAAACCTCCTCTTCTTCATCAGTGAGCGGCTCTGCTTGTTTCTTCTTGGATCCGATGCCAAGTTGTTGTAGACGCTTCATTTCGGCATCAAGAGTTGAACGGAACTCGGCAAAGAAGGGGTCCTTAAAGATCTTAAGCGATGGGTGGCCGTTTTGACGCAAGTGTCTGAGTAGTCCACTACACAGATGGTGAAGAGTTTGAGGTGGATAATCAGTTCCATCTTTTTTGCGAACCTCTAGAACAAATCTCGTAAGCCAGTATTGAAGCTGGGGAGGAGTAACAGCAGATAATGGCGGTATATAGGTGCTGTAGGTCGTTGCATGATAGTCACTCCACTCCTGCCACACTCCTGTGCAGTATCGAGTGTCTTCGGCAGTTTTTTTTGGGAATAGAGTCGGAGCGTCGCTTCCGTATTCCCTCGTCGGTTACCCTAGCGCGAGCGGTGAACCGCGCTGCTGCTGGAGGGGGAGGGGGAGGGGCTGGTTCGGAAACGTCGTCGTCGGTACGGTTGCTCGATCTATAATATCTATCTATCTATCTACGCGCTGCTGCTAAAACTGGTGGGCGGCGGGGAGGGGAGGGGCTGGTTTGGGAACGGAAGTAGCGTTGTGGGCGGAGTCGCACAGAGCGGCAGCCGGCGGTTTGACAGACGAGCGAAGGGCCGCCGGTTGTTGTCGATGTCTCGCTGGCCTCGAAGACGTTGTACGCTGCGAAAAACAGCTCGTCGGTCTCTTTTTGCGTTATCTGCAGCGCCGCAGATGACAGTAAGTCTTCTAACTCCATTTTTTCGCGAGCGTTACTGAATCGTTTTGTATGGAAGATTCATGGAAAAACACAGACACAGTGGCTCTGCACTAAAACATGTTAGTGCATAGCTGATTCGAATCGACCAATCAGCTGATTTGCTCTGCACTAAACATGTTATGTACTCCGTATACTCGGGACATACCGGATTTCAATGAACCCTCGTGCCATCCGCGTAGTGTCCTCGCTGCGCTCGGGACACTACAAACGCGGAGGCTCTCGGGTTCATTGAAATCCGGTATGTCCCTCGTACGTAGTACATATGTTACTCCGTACGAGGGAACTACGGGATTTCAATGAACCCTCGGCCATCCGCGTAGTGCCTCGCTGCGCTCGGAACACTATATACAACGCGGATGGCACGAGGGTTCATTGAAATCCTATAGTTCCCTCGTACGGAGTAACTAACTTATATATATGGATGGTGTCATGTAGCTTTGTGCAACTTTGCTGTGTAATGACCCCTTGTTTCTTCCTTTTTGGTGCTTCAAGCCATCCCTATATCCCCCTTTCATTTTGAAGAAATGATATTTTCCACTTGTTCCATTAACAACAAGGACTGGAAGGCTCTCAATTACAAATCTTTGACTGGCTTCATTAAGTGGTGACAGAACGTATCTGCAAATAGCTTTTCCTTGCCAACCTTTTCATACGTGTTTATGAAAAGCCTTTCAAACTGATGCTTCATTTCAAATCTATTGGATCCTGCTTCCTGTAGAGATATTCCTCAAAAACTTTATTGCATACCTACAAGCAGTGAGACCCAATTCAACTTCATATTCCTCTGTATATCAGAGCGTCGGTAGGCGC